CGACTTTGGAATCCCTTTAAGGAATGCAGTGCAGATTTAGACATAGGAAAATACACCTAACTATTGAGGTTTCCAGTGTCATTTGATGCTACCTTTGTTACTTGTAGCAAGCAGGTGAAGAAAAGAGCCTCTGCAGTTAACCTGCTCCCTGATCACAGAATCACAGCATGTCAGGGGTTGGAAGGGACCTCAAAAGATCATCTAGTCCAGCCCCCCTGCCAGAGCAGGATCACCTACAGTAGGTCACACAGGAATATGTCCATGCTGGTTTTGAATGTCTCCGGAGAAGGAGACTCCACAGTCTCCCTCGGCAGCCTGTGCCAGGGCTCTGGCACCCTCACAGGGAAAGTTTTTTATAATGTTTTTGTGGAACCTCCTATGTTCCAGCTTGTACCCATTGCCCCTTGTTCTGTCATGGGACATCACTGAGAAGATCTTGGCTCTGTCCTCCTGACACTCACCCTTTACATATTTACAAACATTTATGAGGTCACCCCTCAGCCTCCTCTTCTCCAGGCTGAAGAGACCCAGCTCCTTCAGCCTTTCCTCACAAGGGAGATGTTCCACTCCATCATCTTTGTGGCTCTGTGCTGGACTCTCTCAAGCAGTTCCCTGTCTCTCTTGAGCTGAGGGGCCCAGAACTGGACAAAATATTCCAGATGTGCCCTCACATCTGGAAGGAGAAGGGGAGGAGAACCTCTCTCTACCTACTAGTTATGCCTCTTCTCAGGATGTCATTGGCCTTCTTGGTCACAAGGGCACATTGCTGGCTCATGGTCATCCTGCTGTGCACCACAATCCCCAGGTCCCTTTCCCCTGCGCTGCTCTCCAACACATCAGTCCCCAATGATGAATAGAGAACTCTGATGATGAATACAGAAGTCTGAGTGGCTGAAGCACATAACTCTCTTCATCTGAGAGTCCCACAAATTTGAGAGTACCTGAAAAACCAGGCATGGAAATAAAAAATCCAGGACAGCTGGAGAAAGTAGTCACTCTGTCTTTGAGCAGTGCTTTTGATTGTTTAAAAATGGGAGACTCTTTCTTTAATTTCTCTTCACAGACTCAGTCTACTTCTTTCTGGCCGATACGCTGAAAAAAAGGCTCTCTGCCTGCACTGCTTTTGGGACTCCCTGGCAGATCTTCCCACACGCCGACACCAGGCAACGTGTTCCAGTCAGCAACGCTCCCCTCCCTCTGCTCATCACCTGCCAGGTCAAGAACGCACCTAGGAGCAGAAAACAGGGGCACGAGAGCCGAGGATGGTCATCTCTTGCGCAAGCGTCAGAGCAACGAAGTGAGCACTGCGACAGCAAAGGGGTAGGCGGCCATCAAGAGAAGAAGGAAGACATGACGTGCAAAATCACTGACCCTTATTTGCTTCTACAGACAGAGCATTGTTTTATAAAGGCAGATCGAGAGAAGCACTAAGGAGATGTTGTGGACGATCTTACATAACATTTCATTGCTAGGCAGACATAGTAATCCATAAACACAATCAATCTGCTAAGAAATACATCATCTGTAACTCAGGGTGGAAACACAAACTACATCAGCATATGAGGGAAGAAAAAGTTATTAAATACTCTCCACCTTGCCTATAATTTGAAGTGACCAGTGCACCTCCAGATTTACAATCCATTTTAACTAGTCTTCACATAACGAGAAATGTCTTCAAAATACAAGTTTTCAGTGGTAGATGGTCTCTGCAAAAAGACTAAATGGCATCAAGATGTGTCCATGACAAATAAGCAATTTGATTCTCTGCTCCACCTACAATATTGTTAGGTCTTTCTTTTCTTTTGTCAGTCTAATAAATAATCACAAGTTCATTATGCAGTCACCAGTTTATTTTGCAGCTGCTTTCCAAGTTATGCACCATATTTGCTTAACTATGAATGAGGGAAGAGACGGCAGAATCTAGAACGCCTGTCCTCTAACACCATGGCTTACTAGCCCGAAATTACCAGCAACCAATGGTGAGACACTTCTAAGCCTATTCACAGCAAGATGTCAGTCATCCTAAGCGCTAAACATTTAGGCTCACAGGCAACAGAAGACAGCAGAGCGCACTCTTCAACTGCAAGTTTTCACTCCAAAGAACAAAACAGGAACCACTTTCTAGTTTTTATTCCCTATTTAGGTGAAACTATTTCAAATGCTCAGCAACAAATATATAACCCGGAGGGAAGGGGAAGAAGCAGGGTGGGATGTATGGGTCACAGAAATTTCCATCACACCACCATCCCCACCAAAGACAATGCACAATGGTACAATGTAGATTGTCAACTCCCTAAGCACTCTTCTAGGGCTTTACAAACTTCTGACAAACAGAAACTTCTTAAAAGTGAACCGCTTACTTCATTTAAATATGTAGCCTGTATAATCAGAGTCTTTGAAGTAGAGAGACAGATGATCAGGATTTGCCTTTTGATCTTTCCAATTTGTTTTAGCAAGTTAACAACTATGCCTGAAATATTTTCTGGAATACGTTACTAGCAACAATGTTTACAATAGTTTTAAAGACCAAGGTTCTCTTTGTATCACCATCAAATAGCCTTCCAGAAACCGAAATCTTACAAAGCAAGCTTGGGCTCTGCAAATAACAGTGATGAATTTTATGTATATTCAATTAAAATTGCTCATGAAATGAGCTACAATTCTAGTCAATGCTCTGTACATACACACACACATTTTAAAAAAAAGCGCTCTCACTGGATCTGCACAGATCTCAGTCTCGTTTTACGTTTATTCACTGGTACCCAAATAAAGTCAACAGATCTCTCATAAGAACCTCTAGATCAGAACAGATCAGGCTTTGAAGCAATCATAAAAGGAACTTACTTCATCAGTAAGCCAGATACACCTTCACATTTTCAAAAAAACAGCCAAAGTTACCTAGTTATAAACTACAGCTGTTCCACTGTTAGCCTGAGCTCAGTAATAATTTTTCCCAAATTTAAGGCAACTTAACTTTCCTTAGTGTGTGCTATAATGGGCTGTGCTCACCTTACACATTCTATGTATCTCCTTAAATTATCAGAAACATTCACAGTCACCAATTTTAGTGTGTACACAGAAAGACACTGTGCTTTTAACACAGACAAAGGAAACATGACTTTACGTTTTATTTTGTTTTCTGCTGTCAAGACAAGGAAAACAAAATTTCTTCAGGTCATCTTCCTAGTCCATGCTTATACAGTGATAAAAGGGAAAATAGCCCACTCACAGTTCTGGGTACCTCCCCAAAACCAGCATATCTGATAAATTCAATCTATTTTTAAGCAAATGTTTATGAATAAGTTCAGTCGTCTTGCAGCTGAAAAGTAAAATGATGTGTAGAAAGAATGAAAGTAATGTTAAGCTACGAGCTAACAATTCCACTGGGGTACTCAGATGATAGCAGACACAATGAGAAATCTGCAAAGCAACCATGCACCTGAAAATTAAGCCGCTGCATGTTCTACTTGTTAAATTTGGTCACAGTTAAGAGGGAAAAACAAAATAATGATGTACACAATTACTGTTAACCCTTTATCAATGCAACATTTCAACTTGCTGATAGAAGCAGATGGGCAATTATAAAGAAAAATCTGAAATACAACAGACTTGAGGGCAGGGGAAGTTCTCACTGCTTGCTTTTCAAGCCCACTGCTCTTCAGAGGCATTTCAGCTTTTTATTTACACTGAAGCTGTAAGGAGTTACAACCACTTCTCAAAAGCCAAAGAAGTGCACCCAGCAGAAAACAGCTTCTTGCCTTTGTCTTACTGTTTTTAGCGCCTCCTTTACGTTTGAAAGGCTTATTACAACTCTCTAAATCACAGAATGTGTTTGCTTTGTTGTTTTTTTCCCCTCTGAAACGGGTTTAAAGCATCAATCCATTAAGAAAAGGCAGTCATACAAGCTGGAACAAGTGAGGTAGTGCTGTGGGGTCATGTTTTACAGAAAAAAACCCACATTTAAGTGCATCTCACATGGCATGCACACAATAAAGTGCTTATGAAAATACACGTATTTATTAGCTCGGAAGTGAAACCTTGGGAAGACATTTCAGTAGTCTGAACTTTTCAGCTATGTTTTCTGTCTACTTTGGCACCTGCAATAAAGTGCTTTTGTTGATGCCCACCACATACCTACACAAAGGTGCTTCAAGACAGTCCCTGAATTAGTTGGTCAGCATAGTGTGGCCATCAGGCAAAAGTCTTCTTCCAGGAGTCTGTATGAATTCTTTGGGCCAGACTTGTGTATCCCCACTTAAATAAGCTGTCTGGTATCACATAACATCTGTGTTACTTACAGCAAAAAAGAGGCATAAATGACTCACCGAAAGGATCTGAATCAGGAAAAAAATGTGCAGTTAAAGGAAAGTTACTCCAAAAAAAAGGAAACTGGGTGAATCAAAACTGTATACCACCCCTGAACTACACTTAGGGGCCAAATTCTGCCTTTTGACAAAATATGAACCCATGTGGAACAGAAGCTGTAAGGAGTTTCTGATACACTATTAACTACTATGGTCAAAGTAGTATTCTCTGGAGAAAGAACTCATTAAAGTAGACGTGAATTTGATAGAGCAAGTAGTTAGGAATGAAATGAAACTTGTGACTGTAAACTCAGTACATTCTCTACAAAAAAGCTGCCATTCTCTTCCTTCATAATTACTTTCTTTTTTTCCTTTTTCATAGATTCTTACAATACTGATTTAAAGACAAAACCACCCCAACATTCCACACATAGCTGGGTCACATTCCAGATGTGGAATCCACCATTTGAAACAAAATTGAGTGAGTATCTCCTTTGTTTAAATTACTGTACCAGTTTCTGTAAAAGGACCTGAAGTTTATGGCTCTGGTTTAGCAGAGTCAAGAAGTATAATCAGCTGCAAAATTGCTAAGTTAGTTTCTCATAACACCTTCTTAGTCCATAGCAGAGGTCATGGAATAACTTTGTCCAAATCTGTTTTGTCAGTGATCAGCACAGAAGACAACTGCTAATCAGATTTTCCTCCTACAGGCTTTTGAAATTAATACTTTATTACTTCATACAAGACAGTAAAAATAATAAAAATAACCCCACAACTTTCCATAAAAATTAAAAGGATTTAAAACCAAATCTTATTAAAAAGTCAAAAAAACTTTGCACTTAAAACAAAACTAAAGAAATACTATATATACACACACTTTTTAAAGAAGATATTATGATTTTTCTGGTTGATATCAACAGGCACTCTTCATTCATCATCTGCAAGAAACTAGGTTAGGTCTCTGTAGGCCACAGTCAGACTTATTAAGTAAGTAAATATGCCACTGCTTTTGTGCTCTCCTTTTATTTCTTTGCTTCTTCGGTCTCATCTGGCTCTCTCTCTTGATGCTCTCTTTCCCACCTCATTTCTTTCAACTCTTGTCTGTATTTCCGTTCAATGAACCGCTTCTGATGGGCCATCTGGGGAAAGTTATCTGACACAAGGAGAAATATTTTACATTAATAAACAAACTGGCAAAACAGAAAGCCTCAGCTCTTATCTTTTTTTTTTCTTTAAGCTTTGATGAGATTAAGGGTAGGGGGAATAATGTTATTACTATTTTTATTCATTTATTTCTAATAATCCATAGTAAATCAGTGCTGTGTGTCGTGAGACTTTGGTCTCTTTACGATTTCCACATCTGTTTCCTCTGCTACAAAGTACTACCAAAATACACTCAAAAATAAACCATAAAATCCTGGTATGGCAACATGGCCAGGTATTACCTGGGTTTTACACTCTGTTCCCTTAGCAACAGGTGGTCAATACTGAAAAATGAATGTGAGACTATTGTCAATGCTGTCAAGGTTTTTCGTCTTGTTCTCACTTCACAAAGCATGAACCACTGGTTAGAAGCATCGTGCAGATATTTCCATTATTATTTTAGACCGTGCAGAATTCACTAGATGTCCCATATTATGGCACGGCTCCTAATGGGAAACTAGTAGTGTAGCAAAATGAAATGCAGTAAAATCTATTCCTGAAAAAGTTAATGCATGGCTACATACCAGAGTTCAGCCTTAGCACAGTCTAAGAGCATGGATGAGTGAAGACTGGCTAAAACAGACTAGACAAGGCTGGGGTGAGGGAGAAACAGCTAGGGGGGATGGATGCTTTTGACTTCAGGCATTTTTCCATCGGCTGGTACCTATGGACACTAGCTAGGACTGAGGCTGTAAAACCTGCTTATACATTTGATCAGAATCGCTCTCAATTCAGCACAGCTGACAGAACACAGTGTCTTCTGTATGGGCAGGGAGCTGACGGGCAGCTGCGTCTCTGCGCTGTGGAGATCTGCATCTTCCAGCTGGTGAGAAAGAGCGCTGGGATCACACAGCACTGGCATCAGCACTGGCTACCTATCTGCATCCAGGATGAACACAAAAAGTTACTGCACTGACCTTTAAAGCCACAAACAACTTTGGGAGGTGTCTCAGCAAAGAACTACTCTCTCGCTCTCTCTAGTTGGCTGCCAAGAGAGAATTCAGCTGAGACTCCACAGGGAGGACTCCCTTGGCACCAAGCATTTTCCTCCTCTTTCTGGGTCCCAGACAGCACAGATTTGCTCAGCTAGAGAACACAGTGCAGAAGGCACGTAATCTGCACAAGTCTGTGGCAGAGCAGAATTACTTTTTACTGCTTTGTTTTATTGGTGGGTGAAATTTGTGCTTTATATTATATACTACAGGAATAAAAGGTTTATTCATCAGTTATTTACAACTCGGGCACAGGAGGGTGTATTTAATTAAATCAGAAGGCAAACTAAATGAAAGAAATTTGGTTTTAAATTGGTCTTGTTTTCAAAAACACTAGTGCTTTGTTTAGTTAAGTTCTGGGGTATTTTGTTGCTCACATGCACCATAAAATGAAAATCGGATTTTCCATATTGTGCCTGTAATGTGCTTTAAGAACACTGAAGAACTCATCTTGGTAACAATCTGTTTATAAACCACTTAAGACATTAAGAAGGAAATATATGTAATAAACTCATCACAGCTATCACATATAAACAAGTATATGAAAATTATTTTTACTTGAAGTTACCTACTTGTTCATTACAAATAAAGCAAACCAAAACTCCAAAAACATATACATAATAGAACAGGTGCCCACAGGGGCTGTGGAGCCTCCACCCTTAAAGACAGTCAAAACTTGACTGGCAAGGCACTGAGAAACATGACCTAACTCGAGAGCTGTCTCTGTACTGAGGGGTGGTTGGAGTAAAGACCTCTAGATGTCCATGGTTTTCAAACAAATACATATGTCAGAAAAGAGCTGTGAAGTCTTTGGACTGATAGGAGATGAAGCTCACAGCTCTCTGAGTGGTGATCCTGTCACAAGAAAAAACACTCAAAAAACCCTTCAGTAACATTTTGCTGGTATTCAGCAGAGAAGAGAAGTCTTGTCAAATTTACTGGTTGTGACAAGTATATGCCTAGTAGATGGATATAAAAAAAAACTTTTCTGAATTACAGGGATTCATTATATTCTGAAATTTTTAAGCCCTGGGATTTGCAGATGCAGAGATAAGAGATTAAAAACCTTTGGCATCGGAGGAACTGCATGTCTTCCCTGTGAATCAAATGCAAAAACTCTACCTCCCCACCTTCTTCTGGACAGAGCACTTCTGCTGCACAACATGCTCCGAATCTATCTGCTTACACTACGTGCACACCTGGCACTTTAACTCAACTGATCGAAGATCTTTCATGCGGGAAGTTTGCATACACTCATTCCTTTCCTATGTGACACTCCATCGCAATGCAGGACTGCTCCCATGCTGGCTATCCTGTGCACAGATTTGAGACGCAGATACAGATCACTGGATTCGCAGCTGATATAAGCTGGCCTTAACAGATAAATATTGGCTTACACTGGATGGAGATCTGCCTGTCAGATTTTAACCTGGCCTACCATATAATCTGAGATCAAATTTTATTTCCTAAATTGGCAAAGTAATCTATTTCCTCCTTTAAACCAGGGGATGAGACAACCACACTGTCAGAGACCAAGCAGTCTCATTGCACTGCATATTTATGCATGGAATGCCTCGGTAAGACGTTACCGCACAGGGCTCCCTCTAAGTTACAACCTCTGTGCGTGATCAACCCCCTTTAAAAAAAATACCTGTTGGTATCATATTAACTTCACTTGCTACAAAATTGCCTTGAAAGTACTAAACGAAAAAACTTAGTGCTTACGACCTAACAGCATTCAGCATATATTTTCTGTTCAGATCTTCTCCCTCACAAAACCTGCACCTTATCCCCCTAGAGACCAAGGATGTAAACTATAAATTATTTTCTATGTTGCCCAAATATCTTACATTTTTCAAGTGCATCCATTGCAGCTCCCATTTCTGCTTGCTGAATACTGTGAAAGTCAAACAAAAACATGTTAGACGAGACCTACGTTGTACAGAATAAACTAAAGTTTCTGACAAAGTGTACTACTGTCTTGCAATAAAACTTTGGATAACCAGTAGCTAGTAATTCCCAGAGTGTATCAGCCTTTCCATAAATATGTGAGCAATAGCACTACAGCTCCAGTAGAATATTTTTAAACTTAGATCAATAACGCTAACAGAATATTCTTGTCCATTCTTCACTGAAGCATTTGCTTTTACTTGAGAAGTAAAAAAAAAAAAAAAAATAAAGTAAGAGGTGTGAATACCATAAAATCAATGATATTTTTTATAACCACCATCAGATTTGGTAGCAGAAAACAAGATGAGATCTTTGGGGCTCACAGTTTAAATTTTTTTAACTTTAGAAATCATTCTTAAATGCCTAGAAGTAATAACAGCAGAAAAAAACCCAAAACAACCCCAGAGCCTTGCAACCTTAACTTGCTAGCTTAAGTTGACTGGTAATCCAGTAGCAAAGACAAAGATAAAATCCTCATTTCCTGGAAGCTGTTCTGCAGTTTCTAGTCTGAACCACAAATCGGTTAGCACTGCTAGCCTCCTTGTAGGCACTTCGCCAAAAAAAGCTTAAGACCTAAAACCAGGCAGATGCTGAACTCTTCAAGTATTCCTGAGGTAGAAACTCAGAAGAGCTTGAAGAAGGCCTTATAGCTTTCCTTTTCTAATGTCAATCATACGCTTGTCTGTCTCCAGGGCTCGTCATTTCAGCGACTACCATACTCAAACTTAAACACCACATGACTAATTTTTCACTATACCTTGGGCCTTTACCGCAACCTATTCTTTCTCCTTTGAAGTAAACAGCTACTGTGTATGTCCTGGCATGCGACGGTCCCACTGTCTGCAATGTCCTGAAATAAGAAGATAGGACTTACTCAAGCAGGAAGTATTAACAACCAGAATGGGTTTTGCAGCACACACATCACCAAACTTTCAGTCTGGTCAGCACATATAGTGGGATTTGCGCAAAGCACAGAGCAAGAGTTGAAAATCACCTGTATAAACCACATTAACCCACAGTTGAACAGTACAGTGTACAATTAGAAGTAGAAATTTCCATAAATGCGCTTTGTTTAATTGGTTTTATTTATTCTTTCACACTCACTCAGGAGCAGCATACAAAAATTAAAACTTTAACCTACTAGCAAAAAAGCAAACTAAACACAAAGTCCTTAAAACACTGTGAAAACACTTGTAATGAAGTCATATAAATTATACATAGCCCTGCCAACTGCAAATAATCACACCAATACGATTACTGCACGCACTAAAGTTTTAGTCCCTGAGAGTTATGAAGTTAGCAAGTTTTTAAAAGGAGTTTTACATTCGATGTGGCAGCTCTCCACATACTGAATTATCACAGTACAAAGAATTTTTCCATCAGATTTGAAAAGTTACAGTTTGTCACAAAACAAGCTTTCCATTTGAGCTAAAGTCTAGGACATGCATCAACAACCAACTAAAAGGGGAAAAAAAACCAAACAAACTCCCTAGACATGCAATGAATTGCTGCTTCTGCTGTTTCTTCCTGCTGTCCCAAATCTCTCCCCACTGTCAGCTCGAGTTCTGTCTACTACCTTGTTCCTTTTTGGAAGTAGCACCAATTTCACATCAATTTTTAAACTACCTAACTATAGTAGCCTGTGTATGTGACGAGCAAATAAAACCCACCCCAAATTTAGAAGCAATAGTACTGACTGCAGTGAAACAGATAACCCCAAGAAAAGGAATTCAACAAGATAATAGGAAGATAACAGCATATTACTAGCTCTAAGCTGTACTATAAAAAAATCAATTTATCATCACAGCAAAACAAACCAAACATTTGGTACTTGATACTCGGTGGGTTTAACAAGAATGAGGAATTGCTTTTATTGCATTCATCTCCCTCACTCAAGACAAAGCTGTGAGCCCTCACACGGAGACAGAGGAATTGGATTTGCAGAGCGTCAGCTGCAGCGTTAAAGCGATCATGCTTCTGAAATGCACTGTTTGTCACTGTAACCGAACTGCTACATTTCACTGGAAACTTTCCTTCAGTAAATGTGACAAATGCACTTATACTTTGGTTCTTCATACCTTTTTGATATAATAATCCCAACAACACATGCCCTGAACTTTCATAGCCTTTATCGCTTCTTTCAAGGGCTAACCTAGCACCCACTCCTACACTAATTGAACAGACATGGACGCAATATATAATCTTAAGTTTACTATTGCCTTTTTTGAAGCAGCTCCTATGTTATTTTACAGCTGAGAGAAGGGAGATCCAGCCCATCCAGCTTCAGGCATCTGAGGTGTTACAAGTTAAGAGGTTCACTGCCCTGAGCTCTTCTATCACTCAACAGGAGGGTATATGTGGGCTGAACTGCAAAGAGAGAGTGTCAAAGCTTGTGTTGCCTATCAGTGCCTGAATCTCTGGAGTAAAAACAGAGCCTACAATCAGGACATGTAACGCATTTGTGATGTTTGCATGATAATGTAGCATGTAGAGAACCTTCATGCTGTTACTGAAAACAGAATAGAGTTATCTTCATACCCAAACAGTCATTGCTCCATTCATTTAATTTAAAATACTGTCATTCCTTACATTAAAAGAATACAGAATGATGCCAATGAAGTACTCCATTCAAACATAAAAATTGTATTTTCCCTTTGCAACTGTACAAGATTCTTACTAATTCTTCCCTGTAACGCTTACAACACCTAAAGCTTGAAAAAACATTGGTTTGGCAGTTTCCATCTTCAGACAAAGAGAGATTGGAAGGCTTGGGTAACTACAATATAACTAAACTACAGGAAAAACAGGGTGACTGACCACATCTTCCTCCATATTCAAGAGAGACTGGTAATGAGCTTATATCTGTAAAAATGATGGCTCTTACTTGTAAAGAGGAATGTCTGGCTCTTTTCCTTCTGTCCTGAGAGTCAAGCAACATTGCTGAAGCTGAGATTTAGGATCATTCCAATCTTGATTCAAGATAAATTCCTGTAAGAAGTCCACAAAGATGAGTTTACGACCCAGATTGCGGTAAGAGTTTCAAATGCAATAATGTATTATAAAACATAGTGGCAGGAAAGTAAGAGCCTGACTGATCTTACCTTTAGCCGTGGAAAAAAGCATACATTCATGAAAGTGTGAACGTATTCCAAATCTTTATCAATATATAGGGCAGCTATAAAGGCTGGAGGGGAAACAAAAAAAAAAAGGTGCTGTCACTCATTCAAGGAAAACGATAATGGCTTGCACTTTTAGAAACAAGTATCTCTGAGCACTCTAAAGCCATATTCAATTATGTTTCACAGCAGTGATCTGATGAGGGTATTATTATCCTGCATACCCAGGAAAAAATAAAGGTGACCAAGAGATTAAGTGACTTACCCAAATCCACTCAGTCATTTAAAGAGCTAGAAACACCACTCAGCTCCTAATCTCACATTTTAACCAGGAGAGCATGGATACTTACAAATAAATCACTACTGAGTACTATAAAACATTTTAGATACCAATCACTCCTGTTTGTGCGCTACTTCCATTTGCTTACAGGATTTGGCGAAAGCCAAGTGTTCTGAACGGCTCACAAAAATCTATCAAAACACAGAAGATAGGGATTAACTTTATTGCAGAATATTTATCACTGTTGCCACTTTCTTTGAAAAGAAGGTAGCAAAAACTCTCATAAATTAACTAAAAATAATTCATTTTCCATGTAGCTTTGCCTCTTGTGGAACGACCAGTATGAAGCCTCCTAAAATGCAGTCAGACGAACCACTGAAATCATAGAAACATTCAGGTTGGAAAAGACCCTCAGGATCATTGAGTCCAACCATTAACCCTACTCTACAAAGCTCACCCCTAAACCATAACCCCCAACACCACATCTACATGACCCTTAGAACACATCCAGGGATGGTGACTCAACCACGTCCCTGGGCAGCCTATTCTAATGTCTGACCACTCTTCCTGTGAAAAGGTTTTTCCTCATGTCCAGTCTAAACCTACCCTGTTTGAAGTTTGAAGCCATTCTCTCTTGTTCTATCTCTAATTACCTGTGAGAAGAGACCAGCACCAACCTCTCTACGATGTCCTTTCAGGTAGTCGTAGAGAGTGATGAGGTCTCCCCTCAGCCTTCTCTTCTTCAAACTAAACAGCCCCAATTTCTTCAGTTGTTCTTAATAAGATTTGTTCTCCAGGCACTTCACCAGCTTCATGCCCTCCTTTGCACTTGCTCCAGCACCTCAATATCTCTCTTGCATTGAGGTGCCCAAAACTGGACATGATACTCAAGGTGTGGCCTCACCAAAGCCAAGTACAGGGGAACAATCCCCTCCCTACTCCGGCTGGTCACACAATTTCTAATACAGGCCTGCTAAAGGAACAGCTTTACCTTCCAACAGCAACAAGAAAATATTAATGAAACACTGAAACTGCTGTTAAACAGCAACTTGAATTACAAGCTTTAACTTTCTCAATATGCTTTTGTGACCTGGTCATCGCGACCCCTTCACTTTCCAAGCCCACACCTTTGTATCTGCAATTACCCCTCCTTCGTGCTTTCATATAGACTAGGCTAGCATTCAAAAATCTGGCTTTGAGAAGTATAGGCATAATTCATTTGAAAACCTGAACATACATTTTTAATAGTGATTTGGGGGATTTTTAATGGCTTTCTTAAACAAGTCCTGAGGAAAAAGCAGTTGCATAAGTACCAAAATAACTCACATTCCAATAGATCAGCCAAGGTCTTAGTTCGAAGAGCTACAGGTCGTTTTGTCTTGTCATTAGTGATGGCAAATTCTTGCATACCCAACTCTTCTGCCACCTTGGCCTGTGTCCTGTTGTTCACCAGAGAACTTCTCAACAGCTGCAATGGAAAGAAGTTCCACTCAATGGTAATATAACTAGCAATACCAAACCAGGTATGATAGGGAGAGCTGCAGAGAAAAAGTTACTTTTACCACATCTTGAATGATTTACATAAACACACACACTCATTCTTTCTGTTGATGATTTTTCCTGCTGTTTCAATTCTTCTCACTAAATTGTATTTATTCTATGGACACACTACTTCTGTAGATAAGTCTTCCATTTGAAACGTTTGTTTGTGAGCTTCTTTGCTCTTCATCAGGCCTGTACTTTTTCAGCTAATCAGAATTCTCCTAGTTTAAGTAATACACAGTTATATACATTTTTTCCACATAAAGTATAAATATATAATGTTCTGCAGTCTATTGAGCAGTCCACTGTGTACACCAAATAAGAAATAAACAGGCAGTAATTAAAACAAACGCACATTAAAGCAAGACAGTCTAGTGTTTCACAACAAGCAGATGAAGAAGTCACTCTATTCATTTGGCCAGAAAGGAAAATGCACCATCAGCCTGTATGCACCATTTGCTCTACTGAAGGGAGCAGAGCTGAGCCGCTGCAGCCCTGGCAAAGATCTTTTTCAACGTATGATGATGCCCAGGACACCTGGTTGCTCAGCAGAGTTCCCTGAAATGTTTAACCCTGACTCTAGGCAGATTGCTTAAAGAAACAATCCCATGCAGCTTAAAAAGAGCATGCTGGAATTTCAGGGTTCCACACAATTTTCTGAACCCCTGGTTAAGGTGAGCCTTTTCTCCTGTTTACTTTTTTGCTTTAATTGAAACACCAGTAACTTAAGTAGTTAGGGATATACTAGGAGGCACGAGTGAGAGGGAAAGAATGTCCCTCTTTTCCACTGTTTATGTGCACTCTAGAGTTTAGAAGCTGCACGTTTTTTTCTCTCTGTCTTCCATATCACATTTGCTCAGCTTATTAGATCCAAGTTATATGCTACCTGGCCCCAGCATGTCAACTGAGCTTATGAAAATCAAGATTTATTTGCTGCACTTGATACTTCATCTCTGACAACAGATAAATAAAGAACAGTATGTTCATAATTTGTTTGGCAATGATGTATGAGGCAGATACTCACAACTTCATCTTCATAAACTAGGCAGACTGCAGGTAGGATTATTACCTGCTTCCTTAACATCTGCTTAAATTCATCTTCTACACGTTCCTTTCCAAAATTCTTCCTTTTTATGTCCTTAACATAATTAAACAGCACTTCCCCAACAAAATCTTAAGTAGGATATGCAACTTGCAAGACAGAAGTGCAGCGACACATGACAAAAAAAAACCCCAACTGTTTCTTTAAACACAAGATCTCTTTTGCTGTGTTTGCAGAGTATTTACTTTGATGAGACCCATAATCATGATTAGTAGTGTCATTAAACAAAGAGCAACATATACACTACACAGTGAATTATCCTCCTGGCACTGTGGTTATCAGCTTACTCCATACTAGAATCTGCCTCCTCTACAAGTGTGATCCAGGAAGAAACTCAGTTGCCCTCAATGATGCGGGGAAGGCACGGTACCTGTGCCTCCCCAGTCACTTTTTTAGAGTTAGTCTCCACTCTGGCAACACACAGCCCGCATCACTGCAGATGCCGTAATGTGTGATGGATATCCAACTGGAGCTTAATTCTAATTACAAAGCATTTTTTTTAATATTCTTCATCTTCACACAGCATACTACCCATGACTGTAGCATAAGCCACACTAGAGAAGCTGTGTATTCCAACAGCTAAAAAGATTTCATCCTCTTTCTTGGCAGATCACTTTGCTATCTCAAAACACGTAAACGAGTATGTTCTCTTTTTCTTAAATTAGGTTAATTTACAGATCTCTCCACAAGTAATTACTACGTAGTGGGAAGCCACTGCACTGCCAGTCAAGTGGAATCTCCCTGTCCTTGACCAAAATTGTCCTCAATGCTACAGATACCATTCAGTCGATGTTTTGTTATTTCTTAAAATGTAATTATGTTCCCACAAGACAGGAGAAAGAGTTCAGTGTTGGCTGTTTCTCTTTAGATTCCACATCATCAGTGTCCTTTCTCACCAGTCTCATTACATTTGTCCTCAAATTTAAAAACATTCTAAGATAATTTTCTTTATCACTGCACGGACATCCCCAGAGTTGAAGTTTTCCTCTGGGCATTGTCTACTTCTCTGTATCTTTATGTGTTTCCAGCACCCATTCCACTCTAACTTTGTAGTTTCCCCTACCAACTTGGACCGTACAACTTGTTCTACTTGCCAATTCACTAATCATTAAATTAAGCAACATGGAGACATTCTGATCAGTGTTCCGAGTATTTACACCCATTAACAGCAACACTTCATAGCCTTCCCACCAAATAGTTCTTGAAAGATTTATCTTGCTATAGCAGCACTGATGCCTACATTCTGAAGAGTCACCTACAAAGCAAAATACCCCACTAGTCTTGGATTTCTGCCTTATGTTTTTGTTTCTCTGAAAATTTAATATGATAAGACTCTTCTCCTTTCAAAAGTTCAGGTTTTATCCACTGCCTCCTTAACAGTGCAGAAGAATCCATACAAATGTAAATGAAACTTAAAGAAGTGGTGAAGAAAAAATAAAATTACTCTTAGCAAGAGTACATTTCTTTTTCTTAAACAGCTTTAGCTCGAAAGACCCAAGATGCACACTCTTGAAAACGCATTGCCATTCTTTTACTGATTTGACAAAACCACTTTTGAGTAGCTAAGAAACCTACAGTGCTAACTTCCTCATTTTAACTAGAAAACTTAATTCATATTCCTGATACATGCATAATGTTCTGTGTTCTAGTCAAGATTTGAAAACTAAGAAAAATTTAGTAAGGCTAAGAAAATCTCCTGCTCACAAAGCCCCAGCTGTCTAGCTGCAGTACTAAATGAACAGGGAAAAAAACTACTGATACTACCACTCTGTGTTTACAGCACTGCAAATTGCTGAAAGATGCCCAGACTGGGTTGTTCAGAGCCCAAGTGGGAGCGGCTGAAAGCCTACAGTAATCAACAACAGACGACTAATAATAGTAAAATTAAATTCCAAAGCTACTGCAGGAGCTTCAGGTTAAAGACAACAGGAAAATCAGACTAAAACAGACTAAAAATTTCTTATTGAGAATCATAACCCTGCCTGGTTGCAGGCTGGACAGATTAAAAGGCATGACTAAAAAAAGTCACATGATGTGCCTATTTAAATAAATGGTTTAAGATACCCATTTTTAAAGAAGAAAAATTCTTGCCTCCCAATTTCATCACCGACATCCTTAAAATTATTGATCCATTTCACAGACAGGATAAAACTTATTGCACTGAGCTCATCAATCACCATTTCCTATTCATTGCAGTGCTCAAGACGTAAAATTAACAAAGTCTTATTAAGAGCAGTGGTTACTGAGGCTTCTTTTATTAATCAAATCCAGAATAATTCACTAGCTGCTCCCATGACTTCAGTCTCCAGCCCACTCTTGCTCTTCCGGAGAGCGTGATTGATGGCAGTCTCACCGTTAAGTGCCCTTCATGATGATCGGGGAAATGTATGAATAAATACTCTGTGGCTACCAACTGCATTATGGAGTCACCCAGGAATTCCATCCTCTGGTTGTGGCCTCTGAAAAATGAGACATCAATGCAGCAAAATCAATAAGCATTCAGGGAGGAAAAAACAAAACCAGCATGCACGCACAAATTAAAGTAGCGATCTGAAAGCCAGCCTCACTCATTTCCCAGCACATTGAAAATAATTTTCCAGTGTTAATCAGGTGGGATAAAAACACAGTTCATGCCTATTGTAACACTGACTTTCAAGGAGAAAACAAATCAGGGTAGTCACCATCCAGACACAACTATTAGATTGCAGATCTGAGACTAACTGAAGGACAATAGCAGTTGACATCAAGTTTGTAACAGGACAAGGTTTTACCTGCAGTTTCTTCTAAGAAAGTGAACTAACAAATACAACAACTTTAATAGAGAAAAAGGTCTGTCCACTCACAAAAAAAATAAAAGTATCAGGGTTTAAATTCATGTGAGATCCTGCACTGGGTAACCACTGGTATGTTTGCTTTAAAGCAGGGCCTGGTAGCTCTACACATCACAGAACACAAGGGCTGCACTTGGCTCAAAAAGCACGATTTTACTTCTTCCCTCTGCCCAAATATGTTTTGCTACTGTCTCAGGAGTGATGTGCAAATATCAATGACTCAGTAAGCTCAGAAGAAACACCAGGACAGCTCTCTTAAATCTTCTACTGGCCTTCCCAAGGTATCTATCTCCTCCTGCTACTGTGGGATACTGAGCGAGGCAGGCCTGCAGACAGAGCTCCTGTACTCTTTTCTGTAGAACAAGTGTAACATCTAGAGTTTTTCTACAAATAAAGCCATCTGATATACTAACAAAAGGATCCACAGAGCTACACGAGGGCTCTTGCTGCATACTCACAGAGTTAGATGGTTAAAGCCTACTGTCCTCAGAGTGAACGCACGTGCTAGAAGTCGAACATGAGTAAAGATGACTCCAATTGCCTCCTCAAACTCTGTCAGCTTTTGAAGAACTGGAGAAGTCTCGATGAGTTGCCTGTCAGTATTGGACTCCTGCAGCTGTAAAGGAAATTAAGGGCAAATAATGACAAACTGATACTGTCTCAGACCTTTTCAGAGAAAAGCAAGCCTTCTGGAAACCAGAGAATACCGTGAACAAGTTGTTCTGCAGACAGCTAACTGAGAAAACAGTTTCCTCTGGCTGCTTGTCTTGGATAATGACCACTCAGAGAAGACGTGAGCTCTGAAGTGCGCTTTTTTAGCAGTTGAGGCATTTATAGCACATATATGGTCTTGTCTCTACATGTGAATAGCATGAGCTGCTTATTTTCATACAACATGTATAATTGTACATGTCTGAGTTTTCTATTACTATCACATTCTTTGCAACCGAGCAATAGATTAAAAAAAATTGTTAGAATAAGGCTGGCATGTCAGGATGAGACAAAACCAAAATCTCTCTCTCCCACTTTCTTTCAATATCAAAAAAAAGAGAATAAATACTTAATATATGAAATTCAAAAAGGCACAGTAACACAGAATTAAAATTATCACTTTGGGTAAGCATCTTTTCTTATCAGTTTCTTGTCTGATATCCTTGACACGGTGACACTGTTAAATGGCTTTCTGGAGATGTGAAATGGCTTAAGCATTTCCTCCAGCCACTCTGGGCATCTCTCTCATACAGCAATGCCTTAGAGCAGGAATCATCCAGATTAGAATGCCTGAAGGAAAAGTAAGAATAGTCATATTCTTTTTTAAAGTGGCATTAAGATCTTTTTTGGTTTGTTGCCTGTCTCTTTTCTTTAAACTGATTACATTGTTTGTCTTGTTTCCTTAAGCGCTACTGAGCTTTCAGCTGACATTGTCACAGAATTGCATATTCTGGCACCAAAATCCCACACCTGGATGATAATGGTCTGTTTGGAGTTCAGTTGCATGTGGAGCCAAGACCGCTTTTTGCTTCCTTTGCACAGACCTTTGTATTTACCTACACAGAAACTGATCTATTTTTAACTGCATACTTAGTGACTCCTGCATTCTCACAACTGGAGTACAATTCTTCAGCCTGCTGTTGTCCCTGCTACCCTGAATAATTCGGTTTTGTCAACAAACTGCCACCTCGCTGCTCACCCTCTTCCCTAAGCTGTCGATGCGAACAGCCTGTACTTCAGCAAAGACCCCTAGGGAAATCTGGCAGTGATCTGAATCCCTTGTAAGATGTCGTCATTTCACTCCTGTTCTCCATTTCTCATGTTTCAGCCATTCCTTTAAATCTTATAAGGACTGACAGTATCCACTGGGGTTGCTTTTTTTTCCATTCCCCCTCTTTTTTTTAAAACACGTTTTTAAAAGCCTTTTGTGAGTGCCTATCAGTAAATCCAGCAGACAGTATCACCTGCATCGTTACATGCTTTTTTGTCTCCTCTAAAATCTCCTATTCATTTGTGAGGCAGGACTTGTCTTTACATGTTAACTCCTAAAGTGTTCACACTTATTCAGGTGACCACTGATTATTTTTTTTTCATCATTATTTCTACTGATTTTACAATTGCCAAACAACAGGGCTGCTACTGTCATATTGCTACCGTGACTTTTAGTAATTTTTAAAATGCCATTTTTCAGGCTAGCTATGCTCAAAGGCCAGCCTGAGCTGTTTGTGCTTCCCCTACCGGCAAGTAAAGGGCTCAGATGGCTTCTGGGATATGGAAGAAAATAAGTAGCAAGAATTGGTAAATTGCATATATTGACTGTCTCTGACCTCTAAGCAGAGTCCGTATCTTCTTTGTGAAAGCAGAAATAAAATTTAAAATAAGAGAAAATAAAGAAATCCAGAATGAGAAGAAATTTCCTGGAAGCTTGTGCCACCGTACAGGATAGCTGGTGCTGAATCTCAAAAGTTTATCTTCCCATTAAGACTCTTTTCTATTTACATTCACAGAGAGCTAGTCATAAAAACCCACGTGCACTGATTCATTGCTGAAGATTGTTTATGTATCCATTGCAAATCTGCACAAATATATGAGGCATTTCAGACACAGATCTCAAAGTGACCTTCTGCTGGAAGAGTGTGCTTATAAAAAGCTTCAGAGGAGTCAAACTGACCGCACACAACGTCAGAGATACAGTTGGACTAAAGCAATCTCTCAGATGTTCATATGATCCTAAAAACCTTACTGACTGGATGACAATTTAAACACAGCTCTTCTTGTGGCACCTCTGCACACTTGGAAATCGCCACCACGTTTGCTGTGAAGACAAGAAGATACTGTGCAGGAAGGCTCTGGGACTTGCTCTAGGTCTTGCCCAGAATTCACTCAGAGAACAAGGACTGGGAAACCCTTCTCCCATCTTCCAGCCTTGTAAACTTGTATCCTTCAATACATAGAGGATAAATTAGCCTTCAGGCACCTTTGTAATATCAGTGTTTATTTGGCGTTAAAGCTACTGGAATCACCGAAACAACTATACTATCATCGCAAACGCATACCCTCTCCCCTCCAAAAAAATAAAAAATTGGAATCACACTCTTATTCCATTCAGCTAATGTGCCTTCCTACCATTAAGGTTTCAGCCTTAATTTCAAACTTCACATTAACAAAATATGCACAGATTCGTTTCGTATCCTTTTACCCCTCAACTTCAAGAAGATAAACAAGAAGCTGCTAAAATGTTACCTCTCACTAGATTTATTGTATAAGCAGAGTTATATATAAAACATTAGCGAAGGAAAGGTAAGTGATTAACCCTCAGAGAGGCAGGGACTCATTATTTACAAACACTATCACCCCCTAACCGAAATCCAAACCCCAAAGTAGGTACATACACAGTCCTTGGGCTACCATTCCAACACAATTTCTGAGGTGTCATTACAATGCTAACATATGAAAAACCATCCCTGGAAATAAAACAGAGCTATGAAATTTATTATAGAAAGGGATACACTTACTTGGAGTGGGTGTAGTGGATAATTAAGCCATACATCCCGCAGGTCCTGCAAACATTGAGAGATGCCTTTAATGCTCAAGGGAGTCATTTAACAAATTCCACAGTACTAAATAAAATGTCATTACTTGAAATACTGAACTATTTTAGATGCTGACTCCGCTTATTGCAAATTCAATAGTGCTAGCAAACTAATTTTAAAAATCATGTATTTGCTGTTCAAACTGCCTGTAGTTCTCCCAATTAGCTCGTGTCAAAGAGGTGGAATAAACCTTGAACCAAATAAAAAGTGGTTAAAGGAAGCAAAAGATTTGTTTAAGCCTCAGGACTAACTTTAGTCTCAAGTACTCCTCAGTAGCAAGTTTGACTTCACCGAAGGCAAGGATTAAAAAATAAAAGAGAAAAAAACCTGCAACGCTTATTTTCTTCTGTTTCATATAGGCTTACTTCACTACAGGTACCGAGCAGCAAATAAACACTGAGGTACAAGAGACTTCAAAATACTTTTCTTTCTAATAAACTTGGTCATTTGACAGACTCGCAGACTTTCAGGAAGGAAACTACTGTTTAATGCATCCCCTCACCACTGTCTATTGTCCCAGCAGTACGTACTGCTTACTTTCTTTAGCCATTATATGGCACAAATTCCAGCTAACAGGGATCTAAGGTACAGTAGGCAAGAATGGATCAGACTTGAGTTACGCAATTGGGTAAATGTTGGATGAAATGCCCTGTAATTTTTTCAAACGTATGTTTAAAACTTTTAGGGGTGGGATGATTCAACTAAATCAGCAGGA